ATTAACATGGGTGTACTTTTTTAGTTTTGTTTACTAAATATAAGTTACATAAACACGCTAAATCATATCATGCTCTATTTAGGGCAATGGAAAATTTTCCAATTCAAAATTTTCCAGAAAACCCACATTTCTGTACAGAGGTGACTTGAAATCAAAAGCAGAGAGGAATAAAACTCTGTATTGCATAACACTTAACAATCAACACATCCAAAGTTATTGCCAAAATCTAATGACTATCAAAATAACCAACTCATTACATGGAAACAGTTCTCACTTATCTGTAACTGGCTCAGGTTGCATGCAGTCAGGAAGATACCAATGCATTAATTTATATTTGAGAGGTATTCTTTTTACAAGAAAAAAAGAGTCCTGTGCCATTATGGGCGTAAAAAAAATTTGCTACATAAGTCTGTGGGGGCAGACAGATGTGCAGATCCTCACACTTCGGGGGGGGGGGGGTGGGGCGGGGGGAACGGGATGACGACACAGAACTGAGCCTGCCTGCCCCATAATCAGGGCTGGGCTGATGCAAACCTCCCCTACTCCAGCTCAGGCCAGACAAACGCCAGCCCACAGCTCCCCCTCCCTTCCTGCAGATAGTCTGTCAGCATGGCCCTTGGAGTTGAGTTCCCTAAGGCACTCCACTTCGGAGCGCCTTCATTTGATCCCTCGTTAGATGAGGGTTAATTTGTCATGCAATCATTCACTTTTAAAGTGCTCTGCAGCCATGCATGCGCATCATGGCACAGCTGTAGAGTAGTTCAGGGAGCTAATCACATGACAAGTATAACTTCTGCCTGTGCCCTGTGATAAATACTAAGGTCACTTGATCTTAGCCAAAATGCCGAGAAGACCCTCATTCAAACACAAAAGTTGGTCAACCTGAAAGATTAAGTTCTTCCTAACTTCTCTCTCAAATATAACAGTGCAAAATTAGTTGTATTTTGTTGGTATGCAACTTTTTTTGAAGCACCAGTTGCTGGACAGTCCCTAGGGTCAATTATTGGTTCACGTGAGTCAAAGATCTAGATCAGTATGTCAAAGCTTACATTACCTCTCTGGAGCCTACCTGGAAGTAGCAGTGTTTCCAATGGAAGAATATAGTGCATGGGAGTTAGTTTAAAAGGTTGAAACAGTAATTTCAATGGGGGGGGG